AATTTTATACCTGATTATATATATATATATTTGGGAGGAACGGAATTTTTCCATAGATTCTGTGTTGAAGAAAATATTTAAGGGAGACCATCAAAACCTCTCTCACCGACCGGACAAACCTCAGTACCAAATGCAAAAAAGATCAAATAAGAAAACTCGAAAAAATATCAAAATAAAAAAATTTCAACAAAACAAATAAGTAAATTCAAATGTATTCAAAATATTTTTGAGTGGCTCTTATTTAGAAAGCGCTTTATGACGATCTCTGAAAGAGATTGACTACCTCATGTTACAGCCAGAGTGCACCAAAGATGATTCTATCAATGTTTTAGTTTTAGAGTTAAAAGTTAAATTAGAAAATGAAAGTTATTTAAAGAAAGCTAAGCATCTCAAATAAACCTCTCATTTCCTAAAGTAAATTCATTTTTATTAAATAAATTTTATTAAATAAAAAATGCAAATTTATGCAAAAATCGTAATTGCTAATTTATTTAAAATAGTTCTATCATTCACATAATTATATCAGTAGTGGTCATTTTTATTGGCGCTAAATTTCATTCATAGATTTCATAAAGCTATCACAAGTGGCTTTTCTACACCAATAAAATGACACTGGGTAAAATTAAAATCTCTTGCGAAAAATCATATACCTTCGATAACACTTTGAAGTCAATCGAGGTAACTCCTCTATGACATTATATATATATATATATATATATATATATTGCAAAGGTGTGGACGTAAGGGATCCAAAAGCAAATAATTTTTAGATGATATCTCCCTCTAATATTAAACTATTGCATTTTTATAAATTTTATTTTCAAAACCATCCAGTGGAAATAGTTTTTTATCTTACAAAGAAAGAAAATCCTGAAACTTATGATGTTTCTCAAAATGAAATCTTTTAAGTGCTTTTAGAGTCAACTTAGAACACATAAGTGGCAAGACTTTTTTAGAATTACAGAAATGTTTACGGAACATGATTTCTTTAAAAATATTTTCTTTTTCAGAATTTTTTTTTAAATGCTATTTCGTACTTTCAATAAATACTTGCCTACGTGAAATGAAATTTTTTTATTTATCAATGAAATTGATTAAATTCTTTATTTTATCTTTTGTATAAATAAATCAATTACTAGTATTATTAAATGAAAATATTCATGAAGTTTTCACAGATATAATAAATAAACCGTTATCTTCTCTTCTTCAACTATTATCAATCAACTGCAATATGAAAGTTATTTTAAATTTTTTCCTAAAATATAAAAAATTCATGCATTCCTAAAATGTATACCTAGTATTCCTTATTGAGTCCACTTTTTAGAATCATACTTAAAGATAATGCTAAAAATTATGCACATTAGATGTTTTAAATCATTATTTAAGCTAAAAAAAAAAAAAAAAAAAAAAAAAAAAAAAAACATTATTTACGAGGCATTGCTCACAATTTTCTAATGAACTAGTCAAAAACTTTTAAGTCTCAAAAAAGATATCCTTTTTTTTGCATTCCAATATTTATGTTATCTTGTTAATTATTATATAAAAATGTATTATGATTGTTAAGTTTGTATAAAAATAAATAAAGAAGGATTTCTGTGGTAACTACCCTCAAGCGATTTAATCTGGAAACTCTTTTTAAATAATTCCTATCTTGAAAAATGAAACTGTTTGAAAAGAGGCTAAATGCTAGTAGCTAAAAATTTATAAAATGAAATAAGGTTCATTACAATTACATTGGAATATTTTGCATATTTGGTAAAAAAGAAAATTAATTTGTTTATCTAAAAGAGAAAAATGGAAATGGCAACGGGATCAAAATGGAGGAACCAAAACGGCGGGTTTGAAACGGCGAGACAAAAATGGCAAGTTTGAAACGTCCTGTTTCGTGATATATTTCTGCATGCATCACTCATTGATATTTACAGTTTTACATGTATCATTAAAGAAAAAGCCAAAAATAAACAAACAATGATCTGAATCCTATAATTGTAAGAACTATGAATTATAAAACTTTAATAAATAAATAAATAAAAAATAAATTATTTTCAATGAAATTAATATTGAAACAAAGCAAAATTAGGAATAAAAATGCATAATATATTTTTAATTCATCTAAAAGCACACCTTTCTCTTAAAACATGTTTAGATTTGTCAAAATATTCTCTGAATTTTCGTGTTAGAAATTTAGATTATATTTTGTCAATGGAAATTCCATACTTAAAAAAATTTTCTGTTAAATTTAGAAAACGATAAGTAACAATGTGTGGATTTAATGCTCTTCATTGCTTAAAAAATGTAAATAGAAATTATTTTATTTTGAGACGCAGTATTAATCTGAGCTTCAACAAATGATTTTGTAACAAAACTGCAAACTAGTCCCCAATAACTACTTTTTTTGAAATTGAAATAAAATAAATATATTTCATTCCGTTTTTCGAGTATTTGAAATCTTTTTAATGAAAAAATATTCCTTTTTTTGTCACGAACATCTTTGTCTAGAAAGTATTTAATAGTTTTTTTTATCTATAAAGCTCTAAGCAGTAGACACGATGCAGCTAAATTTGATACTTTAAGCTAATGGCTTAAAGTATGCATACTCATGAAATCCAGTTTAATAAGTTTGAAACTGACAAAATCACGAACCATTTTATCGCAAGTACTGTTTTCCATTAATTTTGAATATTTTTCTTTTATATTTAAAATGTACGTATGTAAATGTTAAATGTAAGATCAGAAAAATGGAAAAACAAAATACTCTGAATAGTTTTTGATCTGTGAATGAGTTTTCAATTTTAATTGCTGACTTAAAGCTTATTGTTTAAGTATTTGTAGCTATTAATTAGGATACGAAAATAAACCAAACGCATCAATTGGTCAAAACATATTCCCGCATTTTAATATGATACAATAAACAATATTTCTCCTTAACTCTAAAGGATTGGGCTGGGTTCTTTTTAGAAAATTTTAATAAATTTTTATATATGGGATTAAAACACTTCTAGCTTTATTAAGTGAATCTTTTTTTTAATAGTGTTAAAAAATAAAACGTTTCCATTGGCTTAACAGGTAAGAAAAGATTTTAAAAAATAATAAGAAAAAAAGTTGAACTACGCATAATAAATGATGATTCATTCAAATTATAATTTGGTTCATTCATTATATTTTAATTAATCTAAATTTACCTAGATACAAATAAGCATAGTGTATGCCGTTAGAAAAATCGAGCCCTTCATCGGCTGGTCGTGCTAATAAAAGAGATTATATGAAAGACGAATCGCCCGAAAATGATTTAAATTATTATAATTTTAATGAAATTTCCTTTTTTCAAGTATTTAATAAATTTTATACCTGATTATATTTGACTTTTATAATGATAAAAACTCAATTACGAGTTTTGATTACGCAGTATTTGTTTGTTTATAATGCAATATTTATTATTTTTCCTTTTCGCATTGTGGGAAATAATCATAAAAGGCTTAGAGCTATAGACGGAAGTTTAGAGGTTTTCAACAGAGACATACCACACTAATTACCACACTACCACATTTTTTCCACACTAATTACCGCACAAGAAAGAGCTGATTTTGTATTCATGCCCGGTTCTCGCACTAATCAGAGCAGCTGTATGGTCCACAGTCATAAACACAATAAAACAAAAAATAAAAAATTGGACTGATGTAACAAGTCCCTCAATTGCTTTTATTTTACTTAAATTTAAATTTCCTATTTTTCCAGTCAATGCGATCTTTTCTTTGATTTTCCTTAACGTTATTCACTTCTTTTACTTTTGTAAAATGCTATTAAGTGTCAGCGCTAGTAATTATTTCTACTAAAAATGTTTTTATTAAAGTATGCTAAAATTTATGTCTAATAATTCTTTTTTCTTCTTATTTCTTATATTCATAGATTATTATGGCATTAATTCAATTTTAACTAACATACCTGTCGTAAGATTTGCACACAAAGGTTGGCAGCAAACATTTGCACACATTTGTACTTTAAAAATTATTCCAGAAAAATTTTATATTGTTTAAATTTTACTTGTATTCTATACAATAACACTAAAAAAATGGAGTAAATACTTATACAGTTAAGTCTGTAATCAATCATTAGAAAAAATGTCTGTATTTTTTTATCTTAATTCTTCTTATTAGTTCAGGTTTTAAGTTGCAATTCGAAACAAGTTTAAGAGTGATTAAAAAAGGAGTTTCATTAATTTCCCCCCCATGTTTGTTTTCTTTTCAAAATTAATAATAAAAAAAAAACTAAGTCGTAAAATAATATGCAGGTGCTGTAATAATCAGCAGCGTACTGGAGGGTTTCTGCTACCCTGTTTAAGACTAATATTTTACAGAAGGTAAAATTTTGAAAATAACACCCACCTTCCCACGAAAAAAATAGTCTTAAAAATCAAATTAATTTTAAGTTAATTAATTGTTTAATGAATTAAATTTTTATAATTAATTAATTTTTCATAAATTAATCATATACCAAAAACATTTTAACATTAAATTACTAGGAAAAAAATGACTCTATAAAAAATTAAAAGCCTGTGTCTTCCAGTAAAATTGGCTTTGCCTAAAATTTTGGATTCTTTATTTTATTACACTTTTTTTTTAATTTTTTGTTTGGAAAAAATTATTTCTTTTGCTGATAGGAATGGTTATTTTGTTGAAATAATTAGCTATATTGTTGAGCTGCATGTTTTTATTGCTTTATTTTTTTAGGAGTCGTGGTCGATGGTCGCGCGATCAGTCTACATCCAGGATGCTGCTCACTGTGGAGGACGTAAACGAAGCTCTTCTCCACCATGATACCAACGCATCGCAGCAACGTAAGCATTTATTTTATTTTATTTTTATTTTTTCTAACCAATAACGTATGTATTTCTGAAAATTTATTTTTAATGATTTTCAAATTTTATAAAAGAAACTTTAGACCCCGTCGGAACTTGCACGAAGAAAAAAATTCTGGTAAAATTACCGTACTGTATGGTAATAACATTTCTTATAAAAAGGGGACATAACTTTGGAAATAAAGTCAAATTATATTGCATTTATAAACCATTCATTTGGCAATTTTTCCGTTCATACTATAACTGTTTTTATTATCACATATTAGAACACTATATTTTACGATTAATTTAACCAAACTCATTATCAAAGCTCTTCGGTTAAAATTACCGAGCTTTTTTGTGTTTTCATAGAGCCAGAAACATGGTAAACTTAACCATATTCTGATAGTTTTGACCATGTTTTTTTTTTGTCAGTCTAGTACAAGTATGTTATAAAATGATCGATATTATGTAGGTTTTGTTTCAAAATCTGCTTAGACAATTTTTTCATTGCTTTAAATATGTATATATTTTTCATCTCACTAGTTTTAAGAGTTGCATATTATTATTTAAAATGAAAAAAAAGTAAACAAACAATAAATTCCAGTCAAATAACTAGTGAGGAAGGTGGTAAGAGATAAATTAAAATCCATTAGATTGCCTGATGAAGCTTGGGAGTATTATTAATTTTTGCCTTTTAACTTCTCTTTGTTTCCACCGGCAATTTAACACGTTTTGATGTTTCTAGTCCTGCGTTTCTTAACAGTCATTCATTAAACTATGAAAATTGCTTCGATTTTATTTCGCTTAAATAATACTAAGAAAGAGATAATGTTTGAAGTTTTTAGGTCTAATTTTGGATAAGAATTTCAAAAATAAAAATTCGGGTCATAAAAGAATATACTCTATAATGAGTCAAAAATAGTTCACCCTAAAGAAATGATGTTTTGATGACCGAATTTTCCCGTAGTAACAGGGCTGAAAGCTTTAATATATGAAGGCGGCAAAGAAGTAAAAACTAGTGAGAAAATTATTTCTTTTTTAGCTTGTTTTTAATTTCAACGATAGCCAAAAATTTTTGTTTTGAAGTTATAACAGTTATTGAAAGTTGGGGCCCTTAATGTTAATTTCCCTTTTCCCATTAAATTCCCATTTTTTTCAATATTTATCAAGGAATTTTTTAGAACAATTATAAAATTTGATTATCCAAAAATAACTCTACTTATAAAATAATTTTTGTCAATATTTAATTCCTTTGTTATTTTATTCAAAAGCATCGAAAAATTTTAAAATATAAGTCATACAAATTTTTACATCAGTCAAAAATATGTATTTTTAAAGGACAAAATACGAAACTGAATGAAATCAGTCAAATAGTAATTGATAAGCTAAAATTTTAATGCACGATTTTTTTTTAATCTTGTGGCTGAAATATTTGACTGCTTTAGTTCAGAGTTTGTAAGCTGTCACTTAAAAAAAAATAATTTAAAATTATTTGTAAAAGCTTGTGCACCTATTCAAAAAATTTTCAAGCATTAATAAGTTAAATGCTAAGAAGTAAATAATTGTTAAAGATGATATATTGAGCATTTTTTAGTCTTTTGATAAATGGAACTTATTTTTGGGTGAAAAAAGTTATCGATTCGCTTAAAAATTTCCCAAGATACGACTAAAATCACCAAAAGTGAAATTAAGAATACGGGAGGAAAACTTTCAACCTTTTTGGCTGAGCAATTGGGCTATATTTTAAAAGACAAAAATTCAAATCCGTCGACAAAAATATATGTCTATTTTAGAGAAAATAGGTTATAGTGTCTTAATTCGTAACTCAATTAATAGTTAGCACTAATTAATTAGCATATTACAGGTCAACCCGTTGAATAATTAAGATTGGCACCAAACAATAGTATAAACGCTATTCATGAAGATATTTTTTATCTATTTAATTGGGTTTTTTTTTGTTTATGTTTTAGTTACATATTTATTATTTATTTATTTATTACATATTTATTATTTAGCTATTTATCATACATTTATTACTTATTTATTTATTACATATTTATTATTTATTTATTTATTATATATTTATTATTTATTTATTTACTACATATTTATTATATATTTATTATTCATTTATTTATTATATATTTATTATTATTTATTTATTATTTAATTACTTCACTTAACATCAGATTTTCTTGCAAAATTTAACCATATGAACCTAGTTTTAATTTAAACCATCTCATTTCAACTACTTTTTTAATCATTTAATTAAGAAGTACAAAACTGATTTTTTCTAGGGTAAAAACCTTACGTTGTACCAAAATTTATTTGGAACATAAATATTCATATTTCTATCTTCAGTCAACGTGCAGAGCATTTTTAAAACTAAAGTAGTACATAAAGGAATAAAATATCCACTTGGCATAAACAAATATGTACTACCACTTTTTTCCAGTTGATTCTCTTCATGTATAGGCCACTTATGTCTGGGTATTAATGAGTTAAAATTGATTTTTAACTTTTCTTCCTCATTATTTTATTAATGTTCACATCTTAGACTGATATATTTTGGTACTTCTAATTTCTAAGCTCATAAAAATCGACATATATAAAAGTATAACGGTTCAAACAATCAGTACGTTTGACGTATAACTTATCTATAATGAGCGAAAGAGAGAGAGAGAAGTAGTGAACACCCTATATAACGTTTGATATAGTTTTACGCACTAGGACTTAATTTTAAAGGTTCAAGGGGCTTCATGTATAGGCCACTTATGTCTGGGCATTAATGGGTTAAAATTGATCTTAACTTTTCTTCTTCATTATTTTATTAATGTTCACATCTTAGACTGATATATTTTGGTACTTCTAACTTCTAAGCTCATAAAAATCGACATATATAAAGGCATAACGGTTCAAACAATCAGTACATTTGACGTATAACTTATCTATAATGAGCGAAAGAGTGAGAGAGAAGTAGTGAACACCCTATATAACGTTTGATATAGTTTTACGCACTAGGACTTAATTTTAATGGTTCAAGGGGCTAACAATTTAGTACTAACGATATTTTAAGTTAAGAAATAAGACAAAAAAACGTACTTTCTCTCTCTGAATAAACATACTCCTCGTCCTATGAATTTCAATTCTTGATCCTCAAAATATATAGAGATGCCACAAATGGAAAATAAAGTCCCAATAGTTTGATCAAAAGAGTAGTAAAAATATTTGTACGACTTAGTGGTAATTTTTCCTTCTACGTATTTCTCACCATCTCAAAAAATTCTTCTTTTTAAAGTTTTTTTTCACAAAAACTGTTTGACCAATTGCCTTCACATTTAGAATTGTACCGCTTAGAATTTCATGTTTTAAATCGATATAAACACTTGTAGAGCTTACAATTCAAAATTTCTTCAACCACTAATAAATTAAATAATAACTAATTATTAAAAAAAAATTCAGATATTTTATAGAATTATCTTTGGATAAAGAAGTTTGAAACTTCTAAACAAAAATTCTTTGATTCGCTTCCTTAATTAATAAAATGGCGAAATAAAACTGAGATTAACATTAGTGGCTCACATAATCGACAGCTTTCCTGCCGAAACTATTGAGAACGTATTTTTCCAGATTGCGGTGACCCACCCCCCGCAAAAAAAGAAATCTATCGAAATAAAACAAAAAATAAAAAACAAATCCATCGAAAATATAGTTTTTCCGACGGAAGTACATTTTTGCTTCTAATTTCGCCACTAAACTTATCGTCAGCACTAATTAGCTTATTTAATATTAAATATGTAATGTATTTAAACTAAAACCAAGTCCTAGTACGTGTAAATTGGATCATTAAATCAAAAATTACTCAGAGTGTTCACTTTTTTCTGGTGATCTGTACTGTGCACAAAAATACAAAACGGAATACCTTGAATAAGTTTTGATCTAATAAATGAAATTTCACGGAATACAGTGTAATTTTAATAATTCAAAGGATGCATAATTAGATATTTCAGACTCTATTTTAAGTTTTAAAACCAAACACAAACACGCACTTTCAAAGATAAAATAAACGTGTCTTTTTTCCCCAACGAACTAAGATTTTTTACAATCAAAATTTTTGGTTATGCATGATTATTTCTCTAAATATTACAAATAAAAACGAGGAGTAAGAATAACATTTAAATTACGAAACTTTCGATCATTATTCTAACTAAATTATTGTGACCATATTTGCAGAATAATCATATTTAGAAAGTGAAAATCTGAAATCGTCGAAAAGAAGATGTGTTTATTAGAAAAAGTAAACTTTTATGCCTGACTTTATAACTTGTCAAAGATAATTATTTGGCATATTTAAAGTCTACTTCTTGAAGCATAAAGATCGCATGCTATTGCGTGAAAATTCGATCATATGACCGGAAGTTATTCATGTTTTACCTTTTTAATTTTACGCTCTGAACATAAATTCGATCATATGACCGGAAGTTATTCATGTTTTACCTTTTTAATTTTACGCTCTGAACATAATCCGAATGAGTGAGAATATGCGTACATTAATCTAATTTGGCATTAGGCTTGTTTATTTATTTTATGAATCTCATTGGACATACACTGAGCTTAAAAAATATGGTTCCCAGTTTTAAAAAGTTGAAATATAATGCGCTCATTTCTCTTTTGCAGTTTTTCCATTTCCCTCTTAATGATTACATAATTTTTATATTTTTAACAAAGTACCAGTAATTATTCTTTTTATCATTTTATTTAATCTAACGTGGTTCTATACAGATTTATAATGACCATAATTGAATTGTTTTTATTAGTGATGCAAAATAAGTAGTCTTTCAATGCTTCTGCTATGCAATAAGTGCTGTTGGAGATTTTCTGTAATAAATCTTTAATGGGAAGTTCAGCGTCAAAATGACAGTGTCACGCGATGATAATTCAAGGCGATGAATGTTAACACGATATTATGTGATTTGTTACGGTTAATATTAACGAGT